TAAAGTCACAATGCTTGTCGAAAAACTTTTCAAGGTCCATGAAAGTAAACTAGACTTCTATTTATCTAATTTGGTGAAGTTTTGTTTCCTTCTGATTTAAGTGCGTCGGTGGCATAGTGGTTAGGACTGTCGCTGACCATACACATGGTCCGAGGTTTGATCCCCTGCCGACGCACACCCGATATCTATGGTTGACCTGCCAAATTTGGGCTACCGATATCCATGCTGAAAATTCCATAATTGTACCAAAAATACAGTGCAAAATCAAGCTGTGAATCAAAAAATAGTCTCAGGCAAACTAAAGCGTGTGGATTGTACTTGAAGAAATGTAAAGATTTATAATTCCTTACAGTTAGTTATTGATCCTCCGGTAGAGTATCCATTTTGCCGATATGCGAGCGAAAATATTTTAGTTATTTGAAACGCAATTCGCTGTTGCTGAGATGGGTCGATTTAGTCGAAGGCACAAAGAGGGCCAAGGTTGAATCATTTTTGCTGCTTAAAGCATCTTCGATGTGTCAAAATTTTAACCAACCAGTGAAGTACTTGATATTATTCTGACCGACAGTAATTAACAGTGCAAACGATTATGTGCATTTCGTCTTATTTAAGGTTTCGTCAAGTGAATTTGCATGCATTGAGACTTGAAATATGCAACACTATTCTCCAACTCCAACAGAGTATGCGCAGAGCCAATAGGTTCATAATGGTTACACTTTGCTTTGTCCTAGTCTGTTCTAGGTAGCTGAATTTTCACCGAGTCAGATCCTGAGACCTGAATGTGCAGTGTTCGTGTAGTAGCACTGCTTAAGAGTCTAAAATTAGGATAAAACAGATGTCCGTCTCCTCCTTTAATTTTCTTTATTATTATCACATTGTGTACGGAAATATTCGTATTTCAAGCACTTCAGTTGTTAAGGTATTTTTGCTACCAGAGGATATTGTGTAGTTTTTTTATTCCTCACTTGAGATTGCTGGCTGAAAATAAATTTCCGAGTCGGTGGTTCATAAGTAGAATGCTCGCTAGCTGCCGACGTAGTCTTGGTTTAATTCTCAGCCGACTCATTCCTTAACCTCATCTAGTTCCCTAGCCAAAAATAAGCCTATAACACAGAGGAGGTTCATCATGGGGGTAGCAAATCTGCTTCCTAAAACAACAACACTGCTAATAAAACTTCATCATCTCAATCTGGAAGCCTAATCCTCCACTAGTAAGTCATAGAATGGAATTGGAAAGTTGTAAGCGTAAATCAGAATTGATAGACATTTCTAGCCATCATATTCTTGCGATAAAACAATGTACATATGGAATAAAAACACTGGATTCTGTGAGTCATATAATTAGTACGTGCCAATGAAAGGAAGAAATAACGATCTCACCAACTACAATCCCCATGTGTGCATATTCTTTAGATTATATGAAAACGCAGGCAGTGCACAGTCACCAGTATTAAGTGTCTGTCATCATATATTAAAAGTGATATACAAGCAGACTTTTGTAATAGTATCCCTAATTGAATGGGAGAAATGTATTGCACAAGTGGATGCGATTTTAGACAGTTGTGTTTCTCTTGCTAGGCAATTTAATTTTGATACACACAATTAAAAGGTAGAAATTCATTATAATAAAGGTTTTCCTGTAATTCCTAATGAATGAAAAAACAAAACGATGTTGTTGCTTTTACTGACGTTTCGCTATTTAATGCTAATAGCTTTATCAAAGTGTTATTAAACAAGAATTTTCAAAATCTCAGCATATCTATAACAAAGAGTTAAGGGGTGAGAAAATAGACTTACGTCAAGTTGAATAAAAAGGACATATTGAAGGTCAAAATAACAATGAAGATCACTAAACTGCTGTGGTATCAAAACAAAGTTTACTAACTTGATCATCGTTCCTAAGTATGGTGTCATTTTTCGTTGTCTAATTGGTAGAGATAACAAATCCAGGTGTAGATTGTTGGATTTGATAAGTGTGTAAAATTGTAAAAGCAGTGTGTGTTCACTTAAATGAAATCGTTTATTATATTCGTGCTGATTTTGTCATTTCATGTAGGGTGTTGTTTGAAACCAGGTGAAATTCTCTTTTATTCCATCATTCCTACTTGAACAATTTGGATTCCATTTTTTTTGATGATATGAAGTGCTTCCGATGATATGAGACGTCCTTTGTGATTTGTGAAATGCTTTTTCTGGATTTTTTCAGTATTGTCAAAATCAATTTAGTGGTCTGATTCTATAGCGTGTAGGCTACCACGTATGGCTGATGATTTTTCAAGCTTTTCTAGTTCAATCGGATGTCTTGGTAAACGAACAGATGCTCTACGCTGTTCATTTATTCTAATTTCGATTTCTCGAGATGTTACAATACGTTGATTGCATAATGAATAATTTTGGAAAAATGAAGAGCAATTTAGGGAGTAAGCGTGTGTTCAAGTTGATTGCGTAATAGATTGTTCAAGAAAATAAAACTATTTGGAAATGATTAAAGATAAAGTAGCCAGAAAAAATAATAAAATAATTTAGACAGTTATAATTTTTAAAGATTCAGACAGAGGAGGCTGAGTAGTCCGATTTATACATTCATGTAGCGATGGTCAAGGAAAGAAGGATAGCTGTACAAATTTCTTCTGAGCACACAAGTTTGGCTCCTTCAGGTGGATTTCTATGGCTTCAGCTGTAGGTAGAAGACGAACTCGTAAAGCGATATAAGGATTAGTAAAAATGCGATAAATAATTTTAAATGCTGTATTAACGTCAACCTTACCCTCACTATTTACAAGGTGTGCTAGAACAGAGTATTGCTTAGATCTTGTTTGTCGCTTTTTTAACCATGGTGGATGATATTTGGAAATACGATGATAAACCTAATTGGTTTTAAGCCCGATGTTGCTGACTCAGCAGCTTCAGTCAAACTGGTAGATACACTTAATGGGTAGATTGTTGGGTATTGTGATGAAATGCTATATATATTAGGGCAGAGTCAGAGATAAGGATGTTATTGAAAATGACTTCAAGGCTTGCCTAAAGTGACAACGATAACTTATCAGTGAAATCATTAACGTGAGAGAGGAAAAACATATTTTCCGAAAACATGATGTTCATTTATGACGCCATAGCATGACTACTAATCAATGTGATGCAAGCTGTTGAAGTCAGTATTTCAGCTGTTGGAAAGGCTGAACTCTCATAACCAAAGTCAGTGCCTGGGTAAAGTTAACCTTTAAGAAGTAGTCAGACTAACAGAACTCTAGGAAAAGGCCAATACGAATCAGAATCATGTCTGTCGTTATGGATTGTGTATGTGTATTTCATGAAGATAGGGTACTTAAATACTACGTTATTAAAGAATTAATTGGTGCAACGAAGACTTGTGCGTCGCGTGAGCCTATGACAATAAGTCAATACAGTTTTTTAGGAGAACATTATCAGTGTATATTAACTCCATACTTTGATTAAATCTATTCGCGACTGTGGGTGGAGCATTTAACCTATTCCCTATCTATCTTTTCCTCAAAATCTAACTGTTGATGGAGAAATTCCGAGAGCCGCAGGTTTTCAAACCAATCCAAACTCAGTAAATCCAAGTTCGCATCGTTTACAAAGCCTGTACCGATAAATTGGATCTCACGGAACCCAACGTTACATTTTAATTGCGCTGTCAAAGAAAGTATTCTACCTCATGCAATCATCGCTATCTGGCCAGTCGTCTCTGAAATGGGTCCTCCCAGTTTTCTTCATGACCTCCTTGATATTATCATAATTTCGGATTTCGTGTCTATCTGAAGGCATTCCTGCTGTAAAAAACTGATACCTACCTGAGCATATTTATGTGGAGAGGGCGTGCTAATATGGCAGGCGGTTGTGATGCTCATGGATTTAGGCATTGGTCATCGATGGGATCGGTTTCTGAACTTTGGTAGGCGAATCTGCTCACCATATCCATCTCTGTGACCAGTGATCTCTTGTCCTTATCAAATGTGCTAAAGCTCATATACATTTGGATTCTCCTTGCCTATTAGGGTAGTGGAAAATGAGACGGAAAATAGCCTGGTCTGCGCAGTGTAATGATATCAGAATTGTAGAAACATAGTATCATAGAAGTCAGAGAGGGTGACGGCGTTTCAGGCTGAAGGAGGGTTAATCCTCCATATAAGAAAGAATAAGAAGGGGAGCGATGAGGGCTAATCAAGTAGTTCCCTACGCAAAGGCTTTATGGAAGCAATACGAAACTATAGTTCCATAGTATTAAGTTTCGGCTTGCAGGGATTTGATTGAGCACAAACTGAACTCAGCGAGTGAGAGTGGATCGTACTGGACAGCTGTCTCGTATTCAGCTGTTTGCGCCTATCACTCCGCCAAGGATCGGGCTCACGACCTATAGGTTACAAGGTGAGCTGTCTGAGCATCCCACCACCCAATCACAACTTGGTGGGCACCAGTGGTCACGACGTTGTCCTAGAACTTCATAACGTTATACGACTGGAAGCTGGAGTTTTAGCCAGAAATGGGGTGCCAGAACATATCACCAAATATGTGTTCAATGTGTAAATAAGTAGTAGTCAAACCTACCACTATACATAAGGCAGTTTGACTAGTTTTGTCCGGTGACATCTATCAGAAGGCCATTTATTCACTATTTATTCCACTTTTCGTTAGCTAATTCACGTCTGACAAGAACATTCTTATATTAAACCGTTCTGAATATATGCAGTACTTTAGCAAAGTACAAACACTGAAATTCATTTTGCCTTGTAAATTTATTCACAATCAGCCGGCATATTTTGATGAGTTACTAAAAATACATGACATCGGCTGAATGATTGTTTACTCACTTGAGCCTACACTGATTAAATTTTGAAAAGTCTAATGAAAATAAAAACAACAAAAATCACTTACGCAAATGACTTCTTCTTGAAGCATATAAATATGCATTAGCGATCCCGGCTAGTTTCAGTAGCATTCATCACTTCAGTGTTGATTGATTTACATACGACAAAATGCATTCTGCAACAATCTTCTTCTTCTCCATTCTAGTTGGTCTGTTGGTCACTTTTCAAGAAACTGAAGGCGGTTCCGGTGAGTTGAAATGACCTGGTCATCGTTTTTTATTACCATTCAAATTTATTCTCTGAATTAGGAACGAAAATCGTTTATGGAATCGTTTTAGGGTGTGTGTGGTGTGATGTGAAATATGATGAAATATTCTTGCGTGAACTAGCGAATGATTGTTAGTTTCATCAATAATCGGTATTGCTGTCGGCAATTGAGATAGCATGATGTTTACATCATTTAGACTCACATCTCTACTGATGCAATGTCACACACAGCTTTCTGATGCGTCAAAGTTCATTCCAGATATGCCCTGCCTCTGATATGAAGGTATTGTGCTGAGAATATGACAAGTCAGGAAGTTCATGGTCAAGTTGTATTCGCAGAATAGTTGAGGCTTATACAAGTATCTCTTGTCCTAGAGGAAATTTCTGAAACTTTTCAGTATTCTGTTGGCTGACGAATATCTAGGTGTTTAGAGTGAATATAGACTGTGTGTATGACTAAATTACTTACAGATTTCCTTGACCATTCAACTGGCTCCACAGGACACAATCTCTACTCGAGTACGCCTTTAAATACGTTTCAAACAGAGTTCAATGAACGTTTTGAAGGGAGTGTCGATTCCTTCATGTTTCAGATGGAACAATATTACTACGAAGAGTAAATTAGCGGTTTATATACCCCACTGAAGATGTTCTGCATGCAGTAAATACCTCCTCAGAGAAATACATACATTGAAGATCCTGTCCTATGTATATACCCATTTCCACACAGTGGTTAGGACTCTCGCCGACCATGCACATGGTCCGGGGTTCGAGCCCACGCCGACGCACACTTGATATCTATGGTCGGCCTGCGAAATTTGGGCTCCCGATATCCACGCTGAAAATTCCACACTTGTACCAAAAATACGGTGTGGAATCAAGCTGTAATCAAAAATAAAAAATAAAAAATAAAATAAATTATAATTAATCTATTTACATGATTTGGTCTACTGAACATGCGGTTTGTATCCTTTAATCGACTGACGGTTTGGCTAGTTCCAGACTACATTTAACTATTTCTCGAGTGTTCTTCAGTAGTTAGGGGCTTCATACAAATCTGTTAATTAATTTTCTTATGTTGATAATATTTTGAAATCTACTTATTTGAATATATTATTACTTTTAAAAAAATCGAATTCACTCTGTTTTACCATAATGTTTCAGTAATATCTAGAATCGGGGGAAGCAGTAAGTTAACTGACTAGCTACTTATTTATCTGTGAGTAGCAGAAGTAGATTTCTTGTAGTGATTCCTGAGATACCGTCTGCATTACAACAATTGCAGGCCAAATTAGTTGGGTAGGGGGAGTGGAACTATGATGTATTTAGAGGTAAAGATGATCCATTAATTAGAAAACGATGAGTTCAACTCGTTGGTGGCCAGACAGTCACTGACAGACCACTAAAATAGTTTGGATTCTGCAATGTTTTTTCAAGGAATAATTCTGTTAGGCTATAATTCAAATATTTTCCCGATGGTTTATTACATAAACTGTACAAGGCGAAGTGTTCTATTAATTACCGTTTTTCCACAAATCCTGTCCTTCGTAAAATCTCTGAGTGTGTACAGCTCTCTGGTGTTATGGATAAGTCGGTTGTTTAAAAAAAATTAGTGATGACATGACAAAAAAACACCTAGTTTATATTGATGCTTGCTAGTTGGAAACCATGGAAGAAAACTCGCTGAACTTGATTCCCTGAGTACCGACACTCATAAAGTGTGTCAATCTGTAAAGATGTAGGAATCGACGTCCATTTGTTGGTTAGTATTTACAAGCAAAATAATCGTTATTTGTTGAACAGCTGAAAGCAATCAAGGTAAGCAAACTTTTGAGTGATTCTAGAAATAGCTAAATTGTTGACTGCATTAACGATATAATATGCTATTGTCACAACTTTATGAAAAGTAGTGGTTACGACAAGATAGATTACTAATCTTTAGAAATTGAATCTCACTACTGAAAACAAAGTGAGTAGTTTACCGCGTCAGCTGAATAGGAAACTCTATTTCGTATTCCACTGTACTTACTAACGTGGATAATTTCGTCCTCTGTAATTGTATGCTTCAAGTTTCTGGTAATCTACTGTCAGAAATTCCCAAAACTGAGACTGCCTTCAAATTCACCTTATAGTGAGGCCTGACTTTCATGATTTTGTTGTCAACATTCTTTTGTGTATTGCTCAGATTGTCCAAATAGATGTTAATCCCATATATTAGAACACCTCAAAACATCTGACATAATACTTTGTTTCACCTACTGCAACCACCAATCAGGGTAATTATTTTTGTATTCGTATATTAGTGCATGTATAAAGTGATTAACTAATTGTCATGCTCACTTAATTTTTATGTTGAACAATAAATACTGAAACTGCTTGATTTTCTTATAATCTGTAGTAACGTTCATATTTACTTTGGGTGAATGTATTTATCTTATCCTTTCTTACTATCCAGTTCAAACTAAAATTCCTGAGCTATCTAAAGAGTATGTACCTGAATTTTTGAAGGAGTAATATTTTTTAATTTATTCCATGAACTTGTTAGTATAGATATAATCGATGGATAGAGAACCATTGTGAAAGTAGTTGAAGGTAGGGGACAGCTGCCAAATCCTAGTTTGAGACTCTTCAGCTGTAAGCATCCACTATCAGAATTGGAACTGAGGACTTTCTGGTTACAAGGTTTAATGGACATGGTGGCTAAACAGTCTACGTGCTCTCCTGGTAGCTAGAAGTTACTGGGTTCGAACCATGGTGTATGTGTGTGTGTGTGTGTACCACTTCAGAGTCCCAAACTAGACTGACGACACAGCTGTCCAGTACTCTCAGCTGGTTTTCCAATGGTTCTGTGACCAATGTCAGGTCATGATGAAATCTGGTTACCTATCATTAAAATCACCACAAATAAATACTTGAAGATTTCGGGGTAATTATGTTCCCTGAGCTGTATTGATTGCTTGAGAAGCTATCATTCCTCTACTAGGCAATATCTCCAATGCATACTTCAATTTGTATTCAGCTTTAAGATTCCTCCACGAGTTAAATAGTCAACTCTCCTGATTTCCTTGAAAGTGATTAATCGCTCTCGTATGTCTTCACACCTTATAGTCTGTCTGTGTGGGTAGTGATTGTTTCCTTGACCTGAAGTTTTACGTTTTTGAGTGAAATTTTATTCTGATGTATTGATAAATTTTACCACCTATGTCAGTGTGCCTGTTGATTGCCGATTCACTGGAATACCAGGCTCTCAGAAATTCGTCTGCATAATATTTCAATGTTATCCCAGTAGAATTGATGTCCGTGGTCGTCTGTATGTCGGCTGGTTTATGTTCATAGTTGCGAGGATGAAGATAGTGTCCACTTTGACCATTATATGGATATTGTTTTCACAGGCTTTTGACAGTACACGCAATAAAACCGTCTAAGAGGTTGTTTGGCTCGTGAATTCATTGCATGATATAGTCCTTTATTAAACCCGAAATATTTTAGTCACACACTGTATGATTTACTTGATACCATAAAATTCATGGGAGCAGGAAAAAGTCGTATTTCACTGTATACTACTTCCTGACAAATATGAGTAGTTGAAAGTGTATCACATGAAAAGGTGACGCTTACCAGCCTAACAGAAGTGGTCTAACAACTGGGTGTCGATTTCATTATTTCGAAGCCGAGCTAACCAGAGATATGCCCACAGTGATTCAGCATATAGAACCTAAATGATTTCAAACTCAGCCATTCTCCAAAGAGTTCATTACAGTGAATACTCTTTGTGCACATGAACTTTAGCTTCAGAGAATGAGAATAATTTAAACATTGAAACCGTCTTGTTGAGGAATTTTATTAGTGTTTTGATTTTGTCAGTCCAAGAAAATACAACACTCGTGAAGTCTATTAATCTGCTTCGAATGGTTTCACCTGATGACGTAAAATACAAATCTATATTCTGTTTTATCACAGACCACCAGAGGGCTGGAAGTAAGTGGTGGTATATTTCCCTGTTAAAGTATCCTATGCGGTTAACATTCAGTTGTAGGTGATTTCGCGTGCTCCTACATGTTACACGGATACGATTCAGTTATTTAACAGTTCTGTTTGGTTCATGTTTTGAAATCGGAAATGGTTTTCACCTGTATAAGTGGTACACCCTTACTGATCTTTATTTCTTATCGATGTTTAATTTATGATGTCACAAATATGTGCTAAACAAGCTTCCTACATCTCCGGTCATATTAATACAGTCACAACATAAATCATCACTTTACGGGACAAAGAGGAATAACTTCGATGGTTTCTGTGAAATGTCGATCTGGATTTTCATAGACTGAAGAGAAGATCTCAGATATGGAGGATATGGACGATGTCGAAAATATGCGAAGAATCTAAAGAACCGATGACAGTTGCGAAAATCGTATTTACCAGGCATATCTATGGTCGGCCTGCAAAATTTAGGGCTACCGATATCTATGCTGAAAATTCCATACTTGTACCAAAAATACAGTGTGGAATCAAGCTGTAAATAAAAAAAAAATTAAAAAAAATATCCAGTCGTGTAGTGCACGAATTTTGTGAAGAACAGACTTTGACATCCTGAAATCCCACAACCGAGCATGGAAGTATTCCAAATCTACTGAAATACCTTCGTGACTGTGCAGTCTTTCAATACTGTTTACGTGGTTAAAAAACAACTTTCTCAGTTAGGTCAGTAGATGCCTACTTTCCTGAAGACAACACAGAGTCAGAATAAATATGTCAAACCGTAGTGGTGTTTAGTGCGCATGAAAACTGGATGAAATCATCATCCCAACTGTTTCATTTAAATGAATTTTTGGTGTACATTTTCATTCCTCTTGCATCTGTTTCAATGTGTTTCGTTTCTCCAGTTATTCGCTAACATCCACTATCAGAATATTGACATTGTCAATCTTGCATCCTTCTTCTCCTTTTTAAATCCAGAAGATATTTGTGGTATCTCAGGTAACATTTTTTTGAAATATTTCACCTACTACTAATTTTGAAAACTCATTAGATTTATTCCTTGTAGTTCCTTGTATAAACTGTAGGGAATGAAGTGTACACTTTGATGGCATTACGTTATTTTTGGTTGCAAGCAAACACAATATAACATGAGACGACTGAATACATGAAGTTTCGAACATCAATAGAATAAGAAAGAGTTTCACTCATATTAAGCTCAGCGTATTTCTCAGTGATATGATGCACTAGGCCCTCAAAAGGGGAGTCAGTGCAAGTCGATCAATGAGTTGGGTGCCATTTCAATATTGGAGTTACAGTTAATGGAATAGAGGAACTCAATGAGATGGACAGAAGTTGCCTTATGTTCTACTTCGTGTCCAAGGGAATCAAAATAAGAACAATAAGACAGATAATAATATAAAATGGCAGACATATTACCGTCGCAAAGAGAAGGGGAGAGATGCTGAGGCAAAATGATTTTAAATATCATGTGGAATATTTCATGAAATGTTCCTGAAAATTGGAGCAAAATCAAAAATTCATCGGTTGACTGAGAATTCTGAATCCATCTGCTAACAACTTTTACGTAGAACTACTTCGCTAGAAAATTATTTTTTTGTAGTGACTATGTGCAGCTTCATAGTGTGTGGGCGGTTTTAACTCAAGCACAAATAAGAGAGCGTAGTTAGATGTTCTTGCATGCCATAGACGGTGGGTTCAACAGCTGTGAATTTATTTCCCATTTATGTACGACTTATCATTCTCGGCTTTGTCTTTCATTTTTAAGAAAAACTCTCACCTCATTTTGGTAAGTTAGCGCTTCACAAGTTTAATTATTGCATAAGACAAATCAAAGACGAATTGCCTAAATTAATGTACCCACGTCTGAAAGGTTGAAATCACAGAGGCATCAAAGATGTTTGTGCCTGGAATGTAATCAAATATCCTGTAACAATTCCACGTTAACATATAATTTCAAATAATGTGACTCGCATCTTAACACTATCCGTTATTTGTATAGTTTTATGTACATCACGTGAAATCGATAATTATAGTGAAAATATATATAGTGAAAAATCCTGCCTCAAAATTTACCCATTGAACATTGAAATAGTTAGTCGGTGTAGCGTTATCCCAGAAACCTCTTCATAAAGTAATTTACACATGAAAATATCAATCAGTGAATCAGCAAAATTTTCAAAAATAAAGTAATATTAAAGATTATTGTCAAGTTTTATGAACCAACTTCTAATGTTTTTTTTTTGTGTTTCCTTTGTTTGTTCCACGATATTTGGTGATATAGCACACTCAATTATTACCTGTGAGTGAATGAAATAATCCTCGTCAAATTTCTTTGCTTTCGTTTGTCTCTCATAAAACCACTACATTGTGTCAGAGTAAATTGACGTCAGTTTTTGTCTGTATCGTCAACCCATCCAAGGCATAATTTCATACAGTGTAGTATCCTTAGTCTGACCAGCATTATTCCATCCATGGTTAACTAGATATGATCAGTGACAATACAGATTGTACCTAAAATGCTTAATTGTGGTAGTATGTAATTCCATATTAGTCGGTTGATTAGATATATCACACGGTGAAACAGTTTTATTTACTAGATGACGCTTCGAACAAAATTTATTGTTCATTATCTTGTCAATTATGATCAAACAACTACGAAACGTCTGACTCGTCGTCCTAGGGGTAGCGATATGATTAATATCCAGTAATTGGTTATCTTGAAGTAACATCATCGAGAAAAGTGCTGAGGATAAAGGAGAACTAGATACGTGTATTATTCTGGTTTTCAGGACTGTCCATCAGTAGAGTTAGTGTTATAACGCCTCTGAGGATGGAACTGAATTACTTTAGAAAATAAGGCGAGCACATCATCACTGAAGGCACTGAGATCTAATCCCATGGATGGCGAATTATCTTGACTTCTGTTAATTCATGGAATATGGCGCTACTGAGAGGTAGTACCAGCATAGACCATCTGTCTTAGTACCGGTGTGTGTGAATCCCATAGGACTTTAGGCCCAACCTACATAAGTTGGTCACCAATGAACAGGGGAATGGTTCCTTTGCTGTTTCTTTCATCAATATTTATTCTTCTTGCTTTTAGAATTAACCCATGTTTCACTATATTTCATTTTCAATTTTTACAGTTCCTACCTACCATTTTAGTAATGGGCTGTGACAATGTCAATCATAGTGGATATACAATTTACATGTCTTAACATTCTTGGTTTATTTGTAATTTTTTTTAATACGTGAATAAATGGTTTCATCTTTCACTTGTGTTCTTTTGAAATTGAGTTGCGATGCTGTCAGCTACTGACAAGACTTACAAGTAGTATGTATGTGGACACGGGTATAAATATGATTGACATCTGCAAGAATATCGAATAGCTAAGAGAGGGAAATCTTGGAAGGGAAAAACAAAGAAGAAGCATAATGCAGAAGATGAAAGTAGAAAAGTAAAAGGTCTCTTGGTGTCTCTTCAGTCATCAGAACGTTTATTGTATGAGACAAAGACTGGTGGTGGCTAGATAAAAGTAGAGCAATATGCAATCCTTAGGTTCCCCATGATAATAAAAAGTCGACTTAAAAACGACAGTCATATGATATAGTGAAGTCACAATATTGACCAAGTCTAACTTACTCAGAAAGTTTACCACAGGAACCATACACAGTATGATGGTGTTTCAAAGCATATACAACATCCATAGCTATCAGTATCTCCTTCTTGACATCACGAAAAACATTCTGTCAAAATACATTTAGTTCATCAGGAATCTTTTCTGAAATGAAGCCAGAAGCGAGTGACACACCATCACAATAAGCGAGACAACGGAGAGTGTGCTTTGATGTGCAAGTTTAACTGGACAGAAAGAAAACAAAGTCAACTGTCTAAAACTATTTCATTCTCGCCTTTCTGTGTAGTGTTTCTTCCAATGTCCTAGTTCACCACTCCTAAAGTATTGGTCTTTTGTGACTGTCATAAGCGGTGGCATAACTTAGCCTTACGAATCTTTGATATTTGGCTTAAACTGGTCTGAATGTGGAGGCTTTGTTGAGGGCACAGGTTTGCTCAGTTGCTTTTTGGTCACCTACGCGAGGTTACCAATGCTCATGACTGATCCAGTGGTAACTATCTGTAGTTGGTGAGAAATTTGTTCTGGAACACTTTCGATTAACTGTGAAACCAACAGCTGTTCTCTTACTCTCTTCATCAAGTGAAAGAAGTGCGAGATGAAGTAGAATTGCCAGAAAAGTTGTGAATATCAACAGTTTCCCGTCTGGTCCTAGCTTCGCAGCACAGATCCGTTGTTAGTTCACTGATCTGCCAAACTTATCCATGACCAGTTCCACTAATAAATTCCAAGTCTCCCAATTACCTGTCCTCTCTATGTTCTTTTACACATCCTTTTCCAGAACTGTCAGGAGTGTCTTCAGAGCAAACTTCTTTTCCACTGCGTCCTGTACGCATACCGACTCCATGAGGGCATAGAAGTCCAGTAAGAAGCTCCATTTATCTTCTTATTCGAAATCTGAAGGCCATGAGATCTTCATCGTCCCAAAGCAAAGACATCCAATGGCAGAATAAAAGCCATTTGAAAACAGAATCATTTATTGGTGTAGTGATATAGAGAAAATACATCTACTGCAATATTTAGATGGCGAATCGTCGTAATCGTCTATGGTGTGCATCTTTTAACTCCTTTATTGTGTTTCTTTTTCTTCCTATCGCCGATGATAAATATATTTAACGTGGTGTCTATATACTGCTTGTAAGTAGCACTTATCCGTAGCACGCACTACATTAGCACTGAAAATCAGAACATCGAGTCAAGCTAATAAAAACAGGCCACATAAAAACCATGATGGATAGATTTTCGTCAGCATAAACAAGACAGATAGGCATATTAGATCGTTTCCCCTCTGTTGATTAATCAGCTAACAAATAAGTATTGGGAATATCGATTTTACGTACTACTAAAAATTATATAAGTAGTAAACTCAATATCAAGAAAGAAAATATTTCTTCGAGATGATAAAAATCAACTTTCAATAGTGAGATATTAAGCGCTTGCCTTCAGAAATACTAGACAATACATAATATACATCCTAGGTATCATGTGAGTGAATATATTTTTGATTCATATCGTGAGCTGAGGCCAGTTAATTCCATTTTAACCCTCTGACAAAAATGGCGGATGAACGCTCATGCTAACAAACGATATACATGTAACGCTTTCAGAAAGAAATGCGTTTACTCTAAATTATTATTCCTTATCATATTTCAACGACGTAGTAGACCCTCAGCTTACTTCCCAATCTTCAAACATCACTAATACGCCTTATATGAAGATTTGTGTGTAATTTTATTTTCTCGTCATATTCACCGGTCAGTGATGAGTATCGATTGTGTTCAGTCAGTTATCTTGTGTTGTGTTTCCTTTCAGTCCTTGTGTATGTCAAATATATGGTTCACTTATAACGTCGGGTGGATCATCAAAAGGTTCAGTCATGTGAAGACAGTACCTATTTGAATTTGTGTATCCACAAACCGAAACCTAGTTAATAATCGCTATACTTCAGTTAAATTCACAGTAAAATTTGAAAAAGAACCAAATATTCCATTCCTAAACGTCGAATTTACAGGAAGAGATGGTGGAACTCTGAAAAGATCTATCCACAAAAGACCAACATGGGATGGTCAGCTAACAAACGTCTACGATTCGATACCTATCAGTCGTAAGAGAGCTCTTATCATCTCACTGGCGCACCTTACCAGATGAACTTGTAGCGATAACTGCTTGGAAGAAGAGCTTTTGTTTCCCAACAAAATCCTCGCTGAAAATGGATACCCTGCGTGTTTCGTGGAGAGGGGCATAACACCAAAGCCAAAAAGGGAAAAATGCACTTCAGTGTCAAAGAAAACACAATATTTGAATCTGGAATTCATGGGAGACCAGGTAGCAGATATTTTTTAAAGGAGACTCTCCAGTTCCCTAATGAAGGCATTTCCTGAAGTAACTCTAAGAGTAATATTCTCTAGCCACCCATTACTTCGGAGCAATGTGAATGATAGACTTCCTCATATAACCAATTCAGTGTGCATATACCAATTCACCTGCTCGCGTAGAGATAGGTATATAGGTCGTTATATGTGCGTCGTTTCAAAATTTATTAGAGAACATTACCCAGCATGCTTGCTCAAAGGAGGCACCGGTTCAATCAGAAGTGCCATTATTGAGCATCTTCTCAACACCTCTCAAACACATCTCAACTGATTCATTCAAAGTAATTTACAAAGTCAACAGAAGCCTACCAAAAGCAGTGTGTTTCCGAATTGGCTTTACGGCAGAAGCCCTAGAAATATTCATTGAAAAGTCAGAGATGTGTGTTCAATAGGAATTAGTCCAGCCTCTACAACCGCCATGGACCTAGTTCGTTATGGATAATTAGCCTGCTGTTTTTTTGTTCGCTGTGAGTGTGACTTTTCTCAATTTGTCTTCATTCAATTCATCCTATTTTTTCAGTGATAAGAACAGTTATTTTAAGTTTGTTTCCATGCGATTTCCTGCTTACATTTGTACTTCGTCTAAAATAAATATTTTACAATTATTTCCTAATTCTGTGTCTTTTTTTGTTTCTAAGACTCTTGTAATCTAAATTGACACCTCCTTGTTTCTACTTGAAGTTGAAAATTATCATTGCAATTTGTTTCCAGGCTAATTTTACACACCTGCAATTTGTCTTAATCCTGTTTAATTTTCCTTCTAAGCCTGTTGTAAACCATATCTAGTTGAAAAACATTGCCACCTTTTATTCGCCTTCGTAATTATGTGGAATCAAGTAAATAGTGTATCTGTGTAACAATTATGCCTATAAATGCAATTGTACAGCTTTTGTAAATTAAATCACTGAAAAGCAAGATTTCTTTGCTGAATTCCGTGTTCTCTTCTTTACAACACGATGAAATCATAAATTAACATTCTTAACACTGTGTATTATTTGACTGGTATGAATATATAGCTACTTTGTCAGGAGAAGAAATTATCCTTGCTCAATAATCGCTCTCTGTAAACTAGCCATTCCTTTGTCTTAACCGATTAGCTACTCATTACAGCTGCCTGCTGAGTGAGTGGTATTTTTTAAAATAAGTGTTATACATTTGAGAATAATATCTCTTTAAAGAGCAGAACCAACTGGTTGAAGGATGAGAAGTCAGTATCTAAACCTCCTGAAATATTTTTTAAGCACCTGCCACTTCTGATCTCTATTGCCTATTAAGGTTGTCCTAAGTTGACACAACTGTGAGTTCCTCTAAAAGGGAACACTGTGGTGACTCAGAATTTTATTTTGCCTTCAGTAGTCGCCCATTAAAACAGCATTTGGAATTACTGTCGTCAGGCAGTTTGGAATTAATTAAACCTAATACATTTGTCAAGCAAGAATAAGTATCAATTGCGAAGGCAACGAGATAAAACTGAATATATACCCAGTGTGATACCTACATTTTCGGGATAGGAAACCCAAATATTTGCTCTCAGACATCAAGTACAGAGCTCGTCAAATGATTGGGGCATTTCTAGATGGTTAATCCGTATTTTCGTTTATGCTGCTGGTGATAAGATGAATTCTCGGTGGGCGAAAGCGTGACTAGTAGGATCCGCATTATCTAGTTCGACGACGATACACGTTGATTTCACTGCATGGCATCAGTGTTCTTTCGAAAACTTAAAGAAAAAAAAATTCCTGCGTGAATGAACCTCGACTCAAACATAGTTGACCACATAACTTGAAGTTTTTGGGCTCCATCCCTGGTGGTTATGGTGGTGGGGTTATGTGTGTGTCTGCATAACTCATCATTCCCAGTGTATATCACAGGATTGAAATGCTTCTTCCCCAACTCACCCTGACACACTTTTCGATTATTACTCTACATTTGCTTAGTTACCCAAAACTCTTATTCCTCTGGCGTTTTTTGCCAAAAAGTTGTGGAATTTATTGTAATTATTTTACTTTCGAACATTGAACATGTGGATAAAATCTTCTAGACTGATAATACCTATAACTGTCTGTTTGGCGTATTGTGACTGTTTAACACTGACTAATATCTACATTCGCTTATATTGTTGTACTTACTCAGTTTGACCCAAGTAAGTACGTAAGTC